GCTGAGAGAGACAGAAACAGGGAAGAATTGGGAGGGAGAAGAACAAAAAAGGGGTAGAGAAAAGAGGGAAGGAGAAGGAGACAAAAAGGCAGACATGCACATGCCAATTTTCCCTCAACTAGGTATAAACTACTGTTCATTCCAATAGTATGGATCCTGCTCTTTGCCTACTAAATTTTCTTACCTTCACATACAAAAACTTGGTGAATCTGTGAATTCAGCAACATAATTTGGCACCCTGCGGGATCAAACACTGAGTTTCACTTCTGATTACTTTAGTCCTATGGATGGAAGAAATCTTTCCATGTTGTCATGGAAGATCCATGGGTTTCCATTCTGCCTTGACCCCCACCCTAGCAGTCCTTTAAGTTCTCACAGTTTCATTTGGTTGGCACTAGCCGTAAAGTAGTTCTCCAGTGTCTTCATCCCAGGTGACCACAGATGGTAGCTCACCATGAGCTAGCAGATTCCCAGTCTGATGTTGCAGATACTGCTACGATCCAGTTTTTACTGTCCTGCCATCTTTGTGGTGATCAAGAATGAAGGGCCTGGAGAGCAGCACCCGACAAGCCAAGGCTAGTCAAGGGTCCAGGTGACAGCTGCCAAGTGAAGAAGAAAAAGAGGCTGTCCCCACTTTGGATCCTGTAGTGCGAGGCCACAGCGTTCCCCAAACCAGGAAGGCAGTGTGGACGAACAGCACTTCTCTGAGGTACATCTGTTTGATGAGTATCTTTGTTGTCCTGGTTTTTCTTTTTCTCCTTAAAACCTTTTGTTATTTTATGGGGCTCCAGAGAAGACAAATTCTTGTGATCAGCTGTCAATCTGTAATTCTTCCTTAAAACCTTTTCCTTATTTAATTATTAAAAATTAAAATAACTAAAGATAAAAACAAAGAAAATATTAAACAAGTATCCATACTTCTATCACCCAGACTTAGCCACTAAATCCTTGGTGTACTTGGTTTCATTCCTAATTTTCTTTTTCTTTTTTAAAAAGTAAAAAATTGGTGGTGGGGGTAGGGGCAAAAATTATACATGCTTATTGTAAAGTATTGAAACTTAGAAAAAAATACAAAGATTCTTTTACTCAATAAATGTTTATTGAGCACCCATCAGGCACCAGGCACTGTTCCAGATGCTGGAGACACAGCAGAGGAAAAAACAGGCAAGAAAATAATAATTCTCGTGGAACACATGCATTAGTTGTAAGAAAAATAGCAAATTATAGTTAGATGAGAAATGCCACAGAGAAAAATAATGCAGGGAATGGGTACAAGGAGCATGAGGGACTGTAATTTTAAGGACAATGACCAGGGAAGGCCTCGTTGAAAAGTAAGATCTGAGAATGTATATGAAGATGAAGGAATGAGGTACAGAAAGTTAAAAAAGAAAAATCAGCCCTAATCTCACTACCCACAAGTAACATAATGAAAATGAAAGATGGAAATAATTCTAGACACCTTTTTATGTGTACGTGGCACATATCCGGATGAATGGTTATGGATGAGTGGAAAGATACAGCTAGGAGAAATATATTGTTATAAAAATGGATTCAAATGATAGAAGTTTTTCTTTTTTATCATAAATTATTAAGGAACTATTTTTCTTTCTGGGCATACATACATACATATATGTATATCAATTACTATCTCATCCAGTTCTGGATTTGGGATTGCACTGAATCTAGGATCAGTTTCATTTGAATTGGTGTTTTTGATAAAGAATGAGTCTTCCGACTCACAAACAGGGCCCATCTCTACGTATTTAAGTCTTCTTTAGTTTGGTTTAGTAATGTATAAGACCTCCAAATTTAAAACTATCAAACATCTTTCATATGTAGAGGTACTGGATGTTTTCTGTGCTACTGTAATTGGCATTATTTTTGTAATTTCAATTTCAAATTGTTTGAATATAGAAACAAAGTAATTCTTATTAATCTTGTATTCTATCCTGTAACCCTGGTGAATTCAGATTTATTGTAAGTTTATATTAATTTGGATTTTCTATATAGATAATTATCATCTGAGAATAAGAATTTTGTTTCTTCCTTTCTAATCCCTCAACTTATTTAGTTTTCCAGCACTGGCTAGAATCTCTTACATGAAGTTGAAAAGAAGTGGTGCTAGCAGGCATCCTTGTCTTTTTCCTGATCTCCGAGAAGTGAAGTTTTCAATAATTCACAATTAAGTATGATGTTTGCTTTTTTATTTTGGTAGATGCTCTTTATTAAATTAAGCTCCCTTCCATTCCTAGTTTTTTTTTTTTAATCTAAGTAGGTGTTGGATTTTACCAAATGCTTTTTATGACTCTATAAAGATGATATAACTTTTCTCCTTTATTTCTGTATGGTAAATAACATTAATTTTTCAATTTTAAACTAGAGTCCTTGCATTGACTGCACCATGTTCACAGAACTTTTTGTGGTGTAAATACTTCCACCATGGCAGATTTCATGTCACTGACCTCACAGTTGGGAAGAGATGTGCACGCCTGATTCTTGTGAGCAGCTCTGGCACAGCTCTGATTTTGGTCCCCAGTAACCAAGAATGAGATTTATCACAACTTCCCTAGACCAGCAAGAACAAAGCCACTTCAAGTTATCTATTTTAGGTAATGTATCACAGATTATCCAGTAAGTAGATAAAAATGAGATGTAACTCCCTTCTTTTTTTCAAGCCTTTTTAAAGTACCTATTAGTGTCCAGCACTATTGCTAACTGCAAGGGAAAAGGTTACTCTCTGAGGTACAATCTGAATGATCCAGATGAGAGTCATGAAATGTGCTAGAAACTTGGAGAAAAACCTTAAGACAGTAGTAGCAACTTAGTGGTAATGAAACTCACTATAACAGTATGGGGATAGTTAAGGAATTCTTCCTGGAAGAGAGTATATGGGTCATGAATTAAGTCTTAATGGAAATAAGATTTTGACTAGCAGAGAAAAGAAGAAAGGACAGTGTATTATAGTAACAGAATGACATAAATGAACATGTGAAGGTAGAAAAGCAAGCACATGGCATAGCTGAGAGCTCACAAAGTTGAGATATCAGTGTCCGTGTTGGGCTCTCCATGTAGCTTCATTTGCAGCACGGCCAAGCAACAGCTCTTACAGCCACAATGTCAGGGAGGTATGCTCGATTTCTTACTACCCAGGTGGCACGTAGCTAAATGGTACTTCCTATTAATAAACGCATTCTGCTTTTTCTTCATGTAAAGCCAGTGAACACAAAAGTCAATTTTCTATTAAAGTACTTTATAATGAAGGTCCTTACAGAGTTTTCAAGCTGAGACAAAAAATATTCCTAAATATCCAGGATATCATAGAGATGCTCAAGTAGACTGGGAAAACATCTCCCCAAAATTTCATAATGGTCCAGACAAACAGAGCCTGAACATTCAGTTTCCACTGAGTATTTTATTTGTCCATAAAAAAACACATGGGAAATGGCCTATTCAAGAATAAATCTAATACTTTTAGATTCTAGAAATGTAGAAAATATAATATAAATATTGGAGCTAGGCTAGATATGACATGGATATGGAGATATAGTTCTCAAAGCACATTAAGAATTAAGTGTGATGAAGTATTCACTTATCTTTAACGCTATTCTTACATACTATGGGTTATGTGATTAAATTAAGTAAAACACTTCCTCAGAACAAATTCTACATTTACAAAAAATTCTGGATTTCAACTATTATATAATTATAATAGCATAATTATGTTAATTCTCCTAATTATATAATTAATAGCAATACTGTATAATTCTGAGCTGATGAAGTATACAGATTATCTTGTAAGACATCCACAAAATATTAGTGTTGGTCTGCCAAGTTAATTTCCAACTCCCACATAAAAGCTGAGCAACAGAATTTTCATGTATACATTTTAATTAATAATTTTAACGATGTCTTTGTATCTCATCAACTTAGATAGTATTTTCTCTCTATACAGAAGATCCCCAAATAAGAAGAACAGACAGGATATAGCCAATAGTAGGTTATATATCAATTTACTTCACACAAGAACAGTGTATTTCAGGCCTATGATTTCCATTTGTTATTAACAAAAATAATCTGTCCAGAACCCAAAGGCAACCACATAGCAATCATGTAAAATGTGCAAATGTATTTTAAAATGCAAGTTATTCTACAGCATTTGCAAGGCAGAACTGTACACTAATTCAGTCACTTACCTCACTCTCGCTTACTTAGTAATAACCCTTTGCACACACAGCCAATGCAAATGCACAAGGCACAACTTTGTGCTGCTGCTTAAGTATGTAACATACACCCTCAGATTATTTGAAGATATTAAAAATAACGTAATATCATGTTTGTATTTTATTAATGAGACATCCGCTCATTTCTAAAGCTTCATGAAGCATTACACTGATAAACATATGTGTGGCCAGGACAAACTGTTCCTTGAACTTAAAAGGAAAAAGACAAGATCCTTGCTATCCTATACTAAAAAAATTATATATATATATATATATATGTACACATACACCTAAAAGAAACTTTCCATAATCACTGAGTATTTTATTTGTCCATAAAAAAACACATGGGAAATGGCCTATTCAAGAATAAATCTAATACTTTTAGATTCTAGAAATGTAGAAAATATAATATAAATATTGGAGCTAGGCTAGATATGACATGGATATGGAGATATAGTTCTCAAAGCACATTAAGAATTAAGTGTGATGAAGTATTCACTTATCTTTAACGCTATTCTTACATACTATGGGTTATGTGATTAAATTAAGTAAAACACTTCCTCAGAACAAATTCTACATTTACAAAAAATTCTGGATTTCAACTATTATATAATTATAATAGCATAATTATGTTAATTCTCCTAATTATATAATTAATAGCAATACTGTATAATTCTGAGCTGATGAAGTATACAGATTATCTTGTAAGACATCCACAAAATATTAGTGTTGGTCTGCCAAGTTAATTTCCAACTCCCACATAAAAGCTGAGCAACAGAATTTTCATGTATACATTTTAATTAATAATTTTAACGATGTCTTTGTATCTCATCAACTTAGATAGTATTTTCTCTCTATACAGAAGATCCCCAAATAAGAAGAACAGACAGGATATAGCCAATAGTAGGTTATATATCAATTTACTTCACACAAGAACAGTGTATTTCAGGCCTATGATTTCCATTTGTTATTAACAAAAATAATCTGTCCAGAACCCAAAGGCAACCACATAGCAATCATGTAAAATGTGCAAATGTATTTTAAAATGCAAGTTATTCTACAGCATTTGCAAGGCAGAACTGTACACTAATTCAGTCACTTACCTCACTCTCGCTTACTTAGTAATAACCCTTTGCACACACAGCCAATGCAAATGCACAAGGCACAACTTTGTGCTGCTGCTTAAGTATGTAACATACACCCTCAGATTATTTGAAGATATTAAAAATAACGTAATATCATGTTTGTATTTTATTAATGAGACATCCGCTCATTTCTAAAGCTTCATGAAGCATTACACTGATAAACATATGTGTGGCCAGGACAAACTGTTCCTTGAACTTAAAAGGAAAAAGACAAGATCCTTGCTATCCTATACTAAAAAAATTATATATATATATATATATATATATATGTACACATACACCTAAAAGAAATTTTCCATAATCCAAAACGAGGCCATTCCTTTTATAAAGGTTCCCATTACAGTATTTTATGACAGTTACTTAAAAGTACATATTTATTTACCATCTGTTTTGGTCAATCTCACTACAAAAAGACACTGAAATAGACAATTTTCTTCTCCAAGATAAAGACAATGCTAAATTTAGAAAGTCTTTCTCTTCAGATTGCACAGTGAAAGGTATTATTTAGTTAAATATAAAAGGTTGCTGTCTTTAAAGAAATTATTTAAACCTACATGGAGAAAATTGTCAACCTATCCAAAATCAATGAGAGCCTTGGCTAGAAAATAATTAAAAATCTGTCAAGCCCAATCACAGTGCTCTTTGCTGTTTTACTGCCCATCCCTGAGAATAAGTAAAGATTCTATTATTTTTAATTTTTTAATAAAGTAAATAAATTTTACACAGATGATATTGATGCTTAATTTTAAAATATGAGTATGCCCTATTTCACTTCAGTTAAAAAAAAAGAAAAAAAGTGAATGCTTTTTGCAAAGACCAAAGATTCACATGCAATTTAAAACGCTTGTATCTTAATCAACTTTAATCCTTTTTTTACTGGGTAATTTCTATTTTTTGCCATTCATGTATCACTCATTTCCTTATAATCCAGTATCTTGTAATTGTTGTTAACAGGAGCATTTAATTGGTAATGGAGCAAAAGTAGATATAAAGGTACTCTGAGATGAGATCTATTATTTCTCTGTGGTTAAGAGTTTTGCTGGAAATAATCTGAACGCCATCCAAGAAAGGCAGAAATACCTACAAAAGAAAGGTAATGTCTTCCTTGCTGTCTTTGGTCTAGCCTTCTTGGCCAAAATCTTCTGTAAACTTCTTTAATTTCAGCAGGTCGTGCTCATTGACTGTGGGTTTTGTGTTAGACAGTGACCGTAACATATCCGACTGTCAAGGAAAAAGAAGGGGGGAGTATTAGTAATACATTTAATTAAATAAAAAAAATCACTGCATTATCATCATGATTATTACTTTCATCTAAGGTTAAACCTGAGTATTTGTAATGTGTCATAAGCTACCAACAATAAACTCTCTTGTTCTTTCTAAAGGACATCTTCCATCATGTTATTCCTTTGCACAGCAACTTTCAACTGCTTGCTTGCCTTGCCCTAATCACAACCTTCAGTGGCTCCCCATTACCTATCAGAGGTATAATTCGCTTAGCCTGAGGATCAAGGCCCTCTGAAGAATGCACTTCATCTCTTTCTGAAATTATCTATTTTTTCTTAAACAAGAGGGTAGTTCACCAAGTGCAATCTAAAATATAGTGATTCACTTATGTGAAACAGAATGCCATTTAATTAAAATAGAACAGAATTTTTAACTATTAGTTAAAATTGAGATAAAAATGGTAAGAGAATATGTTAATATCAGTGATTCATTAAAAAATTAATTTCTGGGCTATGTCTCCTGTAAAATAGTATGAAAATTGTCAAAAGCACCAAACCTTTAAACATATATCAAGGATTGAAACAAAAAAGCATTTCTGAATAACTTCTCAGATAAGCCTTATGGTTAACTAACACTTGTACTATATGTACAAGTACATACATGTCTATATATCTATGTCTACATATCACGTAGAAGTTCCTCTTCTGGAAGTTACTGTTGTGACATAAAGCTCTTTGAAAATCTGTAACTGAAGCATAAGACTTTAAAAACTGAGTGTTCATCAATAAGAAAGCAAACATAATATATGTACCTTTTCAATCTCAGTAAGTTCCCTAAAAATAATATACCTTATGAAGTAAGTTTTATAATTTTAATTCTTTCAATATAAACTACAGAAATATAATTTTTATAATAAAAATTGTTTCAGAACTTCTATTTTTAAAGCATTGCATTATTGAAACCTTCTAGAAAGCCTTGAGGAGTAAAAAAGAAAACCGTAATGAATACTAAGATACAGGCATTTTACAAGATCTCAAATACAGGGAAAAAATTTTCACCAATTTTACTTTTTAATTAAGTCGACAATAATTTATGTAATACATATGAACATTTTGGTAATATTATCTTAGATAGAAGAACTTTAAAGGTCAGAAACCTGTGTGTTTTTGAAAAATAGCTTTTCCACTGGGAATTAGAT